GATAAGAATTGCCAAACATTAATCATGTTAGAAGTGATTTATTTACGTTACTGAATAATTTTGTGTTATCTATGGTTAGACTTTCTTAAGAGAGCTGAGGTCTACGAAACGGAAGATATGGTGAAAAAATACACATATTTTGGGCCCAAATCCCTGGCAATAGCTGTCATACCGTATGAATACGTAATGCGAAAATGGATACAAGGATTTAGGACACCGGGTCTGCCCGATATGGTCGCCTTTGCTTCCACTATAGATAACGGACTTGTGGTGTGGGAAGTGATTGGAACCGATTCTTCTTCACCGGCCAAAGAGTAATTAGTGACAACTATTTGATAAAAATTTATTGATATTTGATTTGTGTGTTCATTAAATCTAATCCTAGGGATAAACTCATGAGGTTTGATATAATGGTTACTGTGAACGAAACGACAATCAATTCTGTGAATGATTTGCGAAATATTATCAAAAATAGTGACGAAGAAGAAGTCCTGGACATCCGTGTGATGAGAGTGTCTAATGTAAACCCAATTCATATTAATGTCAAACCCATACACTTTAAATGTCCATCAATTTAAAACTTAACTAATTTTTAAACTAACTTTTTAACTAACTTTTTTGTAGTGTTTATAACGCGTAAAATGTATAATTTGTTGTTAAATATATTAAATAAAATTAATTATATTCATAATAAGTCAAGGGAATAAATTTTTGACATAGATTTTAAATACAATTTTATACATGATTTAAGATAACTTATGAAATTTAGTTATGGTAAGTCTCTCTCTCTCTCTCTCTCTCTCTCTCTCTCTCTCACGTAATTTAACTACAATATTAGTAAAAAAAATGGATTGCATAGAAATAACACACATAGGGATCAAAATGCAAACAAACCCCAAATAAAACAACACATAATTAGTGTAAAGGCCCTCAATATATGACAACCACTGCAAAGACTGCATTTAGTTTCAATACAAGTGTCCAATAGATGGCACCCATTAACCAATGGGAGAACACATTACACACACATTGACAGCACTGCTTGGCTATAGTGGGGGCGTATCTGACAGTCAGTGTAATAGTGACGCCATTTAATACATAACAACACAAGTGTTGACAAGTGTTGGCCACTCTATTACTGTCCGTATTATCACCGCTCATATCACTTGACCCACAGCTGGTCATCACTACCACAACCACAACAACCCCAACCCTCGTGAGCGATGGGTCTGTTATATTACGGCCAATCCGTGTTGTATAGCGTATCCCTGTTTGTCGTGCTATGTATTGCACTCTTCTATATGTTGACCGGAAGGGGCCGACGGGTCGGTGACGTGGCCTGGCTTTTGGAGGGTATGCACACTCACCATCACCTCATTGATCATCACCACTAACTCATTCTCTCTCTCGCCAACAGGTATAACGCCGTATATGTGGGCCTCTCTGGGCATAGGTCTGGCCATATCGTTGTCAGTGGTGGGCGCGGCGGTCGGCATTCTGGCCACCGGTGTGTCGATAATGGGTGGCGGAGTGAAGGCGCCGCGCATACGAACCAAGAATCTGGTGTCGATTATCTTCTGCGAAGCGGTGGCCATATATGGCATAATCATCGCTATAGTGATGCTCAACGGTATCATTGAGTTCACGCCGGAGAAGGCGGCGGTGGACGCGGGCATACGGGCGAAGAACTACTTGGCCGGCTATATCATGTTTGGCGCCGGCATTACCGTCGGCTTTGGGAACCTGTTCTGCGGTCTGGCCGTAGGTGTTGTGGGTTCGGGCGCCGCGTTGGCCGACGCCGCGAATCCGGCGCTGTTTGTGAAGATATTGATTGTCGAGATCTTCGCGTCGGCTATCGGTCTGTTCGGTCTGATTGTGGCCGTCATTCTCAACGCTAAGGTCCATATGGGAGACAAATAGCGGCTGCGAGTGAAGCGTACGGTTAGGGCGGGTGTGAGTGAGAGATAACTGTCCCATCATTTAGTCATTTATAATGACAGTTATGTTATTGTAATAGAGATTTAAAATTAATTACAATTGGAGTATTTGATCGTTGGATCAATAATCGAGGTTGTTTTTGAGGTTATTTTACCACCTCTATTGTAAATCCAGAATTAATTTAATTAATTGATTGATTTTTAGCCCAATTATGTGATTCTTATTATAATTATTACAAATTCTTTGATTATAATTGTAATTATTTTTATTATTTGAATAAATATTTTGTTTTATTTATTGTATTTATTCGGAAAAGTATTTTTTGAATGTTATTTACTTTGTATATAATATTGTTTTAATTAAAAAATAATAATAAATGTAATAAAACATAATTAAATGCAAATTGAATACAACATTTGTAGCAATTTTTATTGCAAAATAAGATCAACTTTATTCACAAACTCTACACATATTTTACAAGTAAATCGCAAATTCCTCCTCTCAGACGATGGACCAAATTTTGAGCACCAAATAGACAGTTGAAAACTGTTTGATATTATAGTTCAAAACATTGTTCTCGTCTTCCAATAGCTCTCGTCCTTCAAAGATGAGTCTTTGGTCGGCCGCAGGAATGCCTAACTTGTCCTCAATCTTAGTCTTCACTGACGCGATGGTGTCGTCCGACTCGACCTCCAGAGTCATTGTATTTTCCATCAAATCCTTTACAAAGATATGCATTTTATTACTAATAATATGTGAATTGAATTCAGTTATAATTGACTTTTAAATTCAGTTTCTTATTAATCATGAAATTATTGCATTTAAAGTATTGTTAATAAAGGTTTTGAATTTAAAATACCAATTGAGAGAATTAACCACTAATTAATTAAATTGTTATAAATCGTGAAATAGTTAGTATTTAAATTTTGATATAATTTTAATTGTCTCATCATTTAATAATACAAATTAATATCCAGGTATTAATTTCCCTTATGTTTAAAATTAAAAACTTATTCTTAAGAATTGTTAATTAAGTTTCAAAAATTTTATGACATTTATTTTATTTCATGAAAACTTGTCGAAACTTCAATATTTGTGTATTAATTGCAATAAAATCATAGCAAATATATTGAATTCATTGTCATTATTGCCAGAAATACAGACCATTAGAAACTATGGCGACAAAAACTTTACCACAACTGATGTCAAAAATCTCATTAGACTTCACAGAAAATGATTGAAAGTTAAATTAATCGCAGAAAATATTATTATGTGACAAAAATATTAAATCAAAACTCAAATATTTGCAATTTTTAATAACTATTTAATTATTTAAGTTTATTTTCATTGAAATCAATATTAAAATTTTAAAAATCAGACAAAAGACCAGTTGACCGAAGTTTTTGAAACTATTACACGAGTGACAAACCGACCCTTCATTACACCGAAAGTATCGCTCAATTGATTTGTTTGGGCGGAGAGGGCGTCGAAGACATCGTCCTTTTGAAGCAATTTGTGTCCATTTATTTCACAGATCACATCAAACCTACCAATCGTTGAGCTATTATTGTGTTTCATTTAAATACAAATTAAAGTTAATTTTGACAATAATTATCGTATTTAACGATTACTTGTCTGAATTGACGCCCCGATTAAAGCCTAACACAACTACTCCTTGACTGACATTAGGAAGTTGTTTGCCCTCGAGTTGAGCCCATTTTTTCAACCGATCCCTATTTGCCGAATCCATCCATTCGGCGATCAGACCATAAGATTTAGACAAATCGGTGATTCGTTTATCGAAATTAAGGTTATGTTTGTCCACAAATTCTACACACATTTTACAAGTAATTAACAAAAAACGAAATTAAGTATATTTGTTGCTATACTTTTGATGTCTTGGGATGAGATATAATAATTGCAATGACTGTCCTTTTGATGGCACGTTATGCCCAACATTTGTCCGGTCGTATCGATCACCGGACAGCCCATATCGCCCGCTCTGACCGGTGCTGAATGTGGTGTACAGACAACTCCTGGTAGGAGGAGATTGAGTGACGAGCCAACTGTTCCCTCACCGCAAACCATACCCGTTGTGACCCTATTATTACCACCAAAACACACGTTTCCCACAGCGTATACAGGAGTGCCCACCCGTTGCCCACCACTGGTATTGAATGTGACCGACCGGTAATGCATTGTTTTATTATCGGTTATCAATTGAATGGCAGTTAATCCCTGTTCGGAGAATTTACAGACCACTCGTCCCAACACTTGCCGCCCGTCAAAGAGTCTAACGTTTACTGTATTAAAGTTGGCGATAGTGTTGGCGACGGTTACGACGAGACCCGTGTCGGTGACGATAACACCAGAGCACAACACCCTATGGTTTCCCTCAAAATCTTTGCGAACTGTCTTTTCAAAGTGATATCCGATGGCAACCAATGGTTCAAACAATTTGTCCGTAAATATTGTGGACGCGTTCGCCATTCGAGCACTTCTTGGACACAATGATCGTCTGTATTGAATGGTTGCCAACAAATCATATTTACTATTCATTAAGTCAATCACTGGAACCGCTGTTACCATCAGTATATATTTGTCAAATGATTTCATAACATCTAAAATATGTGACAAAACGTTTGAATGAACACTAAAGCAATGCTGGATCTCATGAGAGATTGTTTTACCGGTCAATGTCTTGACGAAGAACTTTATACCTCCTCCTCTCAGACGAAGAACCCAATGAAGACTTGAGAATTTCTTGATGTTATAATCGGAAACAATTTTATGGTCTTCAAGTTGTCTGCCCTCAAAGATAATTCTTTGGTCGTCCGGACGAATGCCTAACTTGTCATGAATTTTTGCTTTTACTGACACAATGGTGTCGTCCGACTCGACCTCTAGAGTAATTGTTATTCCTTCCAAATTCTTGACAAAGATTTCCATTTTATTGTTAATAATATGTGAATTGAATTCAGTTATAATTGACTTTGAAATCCAGTTTCTTATTAATCATGAAATTATTGTATTTAAAGTATCGTTAATAAAGACTTTGAATTTAAAATACCAATTGAGAGGATTAACTACTAATTAATTAAATTGTTATAAATCGTGAAATAATTAATATTTAAATTTAGATATAATTTTAATTGTCTCATCATTTAATAATACAAATTAATGTCCAGGTATTAATTTCCCATATTTTTAAAATTAAAAACTTATTCTCGAGAATTGCTAATTAAGATTCATTAGGAAATTCATTCATAATTAAAATTCAAAAGTTTTATGACATTTATTTTATTTCATGAAATAAATGATAAAAATATACTAATATAGTAAATTTAATGTAATGTTGATTAATAAAACTAATAAATAATTGATTGGTTTGCGTTTTAATGTAAATGATTTGGTTTTTATAGTAATAAATAAAATATGGGTAATATATGTTTGATTAAATCATTACAATTGTATTTGAATTAATTCATTAAAAAAAGTTTTGTAAAGTTTGCGAAAAGTTTTGACTTTAAATTAGTGTTGAAAATAGTGTCCAAAAGAAAGCGCTTTTGTCTATAAATATTGAACACATGTTTTGCTTTTGTTAACAATTCATACAATTATTTAAAAATTGATTCATTTATTAATTTTACTTTTAATTCAATGATTACTAATCATTGATTAGTTATTATTTATAATGTTTTGTGTGTTTTATATAATTGTATGAAATCTATGTAAATGTGATTTAAATACTCTTTCAATTGTAAACACATTTGAATTGAATGTTAAATGCGATAAAAATTGTTTCAAATGTAAGTATTATTTAATTAATCGTATTTTTTAATCATTTTGTCATATATTTTAATATATTTTTTATGTTTATTACAGATTTAAATGAATTGAAAGCAAACTATTGTCTCATAAGAAGTGGAAGAATAACCACAAGAAGTGGTTGAGTGTTGAATACAAACAACAATTGAATGAATAATAATTAAGTAAATTCTGTTTTTTGCTTATTTATTGTTGATTTACAACATATTGTCCATCACTTTAGGGATCAGTTCTCAACATTAGTTTGACTGAAGAGGTAATCAATTGATTGAATAATGAATGAAACGAAGAGAAGAAGAGTTGATCTCAGAAGTGATGCCAATACTCGACACTCAATAGACAGATTCGGTGATGATTTGTGTCAACTATTGTTGTCTTATCTGCCGATTGAAGACCGCTTCCGAAGTGAATGTGTGTCCAAACAGTGGCGAAGAGTTATATATGAGACACAAAGAGAGGTCTCTTACACTACAAACTTGATTACAGTCGACAATGAAGTAAAAGCTGATGAAAAGGCATTTGAATTAATACTACAAAAGTGTAAAAATGCCACAACTCTTGAAGACACCAATTGGCAGCCAAATGCGGAGATATTAATCAAGTACTTTCATAAATTGCAATCAATTTCTTATACTTTTAGTCGTAATGAAAATGTGGTAACAATTGAGAAGTTCTTCGAGAAGTTTGCGAAACAATTGAAATTCATTTGTATTAATAATTGCCGCGAAAGCAATGAAATCTGTAAACAGAGACTCAAGTGTTGCACAAATATAACAAAAATTCGCCTTAAGTTTGATTCATTGTCGGTATTGATTGGCAATGAAAATGAGATATTGTTTAAGAAATTACAAAAAGTTAAGTTTGATTTCAACAGAGGAGTCGACTATTTTGAAGCATTTGTGAGAATATATGGCAAACAAATGAAAGCAATTGATGTCATGTTTGATGGAAGGTTTGCGAAGACTTCAACACTAATCAATGGTTTATCACAAATGACTGAATTAATTGATCTCAAGATTTTTATGATGGCTCGCAATATATGTTGTGATGAATTGAAACAATTGGGTATTAATTGCCCGAAACTCAAGAGACTATCTCTTAATACCAATTTTCATTCAAATGACAATATTTGCGAAATATTTCAAACAATTAAT